CATAGTTAATGCAAAATTTTTTGAAGTTTTATATTGAGTGAAAAAGTGTGCGGATACTTTTGTCCACCCTCTGTAGAATTTAGTATTTAACATTTATAGAGTTTAAAATATTAATCAAACAAAAGTATAAAGTGCTAATAGTAAGATAATACTGATAATTTATCATTATTAATTTAATCAATATCTTTTGCTTACATTTAAAATTATTTATAAATATATAAATGAAAGAACTGAATATAACACATGATACCTTTTGTTAAAAATCTAAAAAAATCCATTAAAATTATATATTTAAAATTCATTTTGAAAAAATAATACATATAAATAGCTTTATCAAAAATTATGTCAAAAAAATTTTACTATTTACCATCAAGATTCTTTTTATAAAGATTTAAAAATGAATACCATAATTAAAATGTTATAATATTTAACATTACAATATTATATAAATTTTTTAATAATTATAACATGTGTTATAATTTAGAAAATATTGCAATTTAAAATATAAATTATAATTAGCTATAACTTGAAATATAATTAATTACAAAATTTTTAAGAAATAACTTTAAATATTAATTATAAATAATAATTAAAATTTTAAATGCACTAGTTGAAATCAAAAAAATCAGACATATGAAAATTGACTTAAAATTAGCCTAAATTTGACGTAATATATTGTTTTTTTATTTTGTATAACACTCTCTCTGCTTGGCGTATACCATCTTCTTTAATATAAGGCAAATTATCAAAAATCAGCCTAGCCAATTGGCATACATCAGAAATCAGCCAAAAATCAGCCAAAATTTGACCTATCTTATTTATAGCTAATTAGCATACTTATAGCCGATTGGTATATATCAAAATTTGACCTATTTTATTTATAATCAATTGACTTCTGATTGAAATATAGAGTATTATCGTTCCTTAGGAATAATGGTATTATCGTATCTAAGGTACAATGATTTTATTATTTTTAAGAAATGATGCATTTATTGTATCTTAAGTACGATGATTTATCGTTCTTAAAGTATGATGGTATATCGTTTCTTAGAAATGATAGTTTTATCATTCCTAAGAGACAATTGTTTTATCGTTCCTAAGTTTATTAATATATTTATTAATGTATGATATGCTATACATTTTGTACTAAGTAATTAGTACTTGGTCAGACCTCTATTTGCTTCAATTACAGTCTGAATTCGTTGCAACATACTATCAACCAAATTTTCAATAGTATGTATAGGAATTTCTCACTATGCCTTCTTAACATATCGGTCGAATTCAGCAAGATTTGAAGGCTTTTTTTTCTTTCATGAATGCTTTTCTTAACATCAGTTCACAGATTCTTAATTGGATTAAGGTCTAGACTTTAAGCTGGTCATGAAAGTACGCGCAGATCATTTTCCACATGAAATTTCTTTGTAAATTTCATTTTATGGAGGCGAGTATTAACTTCCTGGAATATACCATTACCATTTAAAAATGCACATCTCATAGTTAACATAACGTGCTTGTAAAGGATGATAACATGTGAAATACCATTTGCTATTCCAAATAATGGAACAATGGGTCCCAAGCCTTATCTTGAAAAGCATTCTCAAAACATTTGGCCAAGGCTGTGTTTCACTGTAGCAGGAACGTAAGAAATGTTCCACTTTTCCTGAGGTTCCCACTACATTCAACTACATTGGCTTTATTGAAATTGAGAAAAGGTCAACTTATCACTTCATATGACTTTTGACCAATCATCCTTTGTCCAGCTTTGGTGATCCAAACACCATGCAAGACGTGCCTCCATATTTGCTGATGAAATTAGAGATTTTCATTGAGCAAGACAATTGTTTAGCCCAACTGCACAAAGTGTCTGGCCAATAGTGTGAGCTGAAACATCTTGGCCAGTCTTTTTTTTCCAAAGTTGTTGAACTTCTGCAGTGTATGAGTGACAATTTTTTCCTTTATCATTGGTTACAAATCACTTAAATCAATTTCGTTATGAAGGTTCAATAAAAGGTGATCAACCAGAATGAGGCTTCAAATTAGTGATTCCAGTGTCATCTATTCTTTTTAAAGTGTCAAATACTGTTGACACTCCATAACCGACAGTCTCGAAAATAGTTCAGTAACTATCACCACATTGATGGCAAAAAAATATAGTGTCGCATTGTTCTGCTGTTAATTCTTGAATCATTTTCGTTGTTTTCGGAAGATTAAAGTTTATTTTGATTTAAAGTCAAAATGAACAAACCAAACGCGCATTTATTAGGTTTGACTTATGTAAACAAAGTCCGGAACGTCATATGACCGCAGTATTATAAAGTCACATGACGTTATCCGTATGAAATCGCACCTAAAAAATGGTGTTCGGAGACTTTTGGCAGGGGTCTGTATATACATTGTATATATGTATATATATATACATTGGATAATGTATTTCACAAACTATAACGGATGTCAATACATAAAAAACCTATTATATTTATGTATCAGTTTTAACAATTTCGAACTCCCAAACTTTTAAAATTTTCAACTTATGAAAATGGGTTCCAATTCTTTTGAAAAGATTTCGGTTGTTGAAAAAACGACCAATATATTTTCAATTACAAGTAATACTATTTTTTTTTTTTTGAGAGTTTTCGAAGTACCCGGGGAAACATCTATATCAGTTTTCATTCGTCTTGGACGACGTCGAGACGTTGCGCTTTTTAACAAATTAGTTATCTGAGTGTATGTGTGTTCAACACGAGCCTGTTCATAAGGAATCATAGTTAGGAAGTTAAGATGTATATTTTGCAATTTACAGACACCAACTTACCCTGAACGACAATAAACCAGTTACAATATCTTTTAGTAAACATAATTGCGTTGGCGTGTCTGGAATTGTAAACGAAACAATTTCGTCAACAAGATAAGCCCCATCATAATAAATCATTGCATAAAAAATAAAATCTCTTCCTGAAAAAAAAAAAAAAAAAGAAAAAGTTTAGTAAAGGTTGATGAACACGAACATACCAATAACGTTACTTACTATCGACGAAAATTCCATAGGTTTCAAGCTTTCGTTTAAGCTTTTCTTCATCAGTTATTATGTTTGAAATGTTTGAACTTTAATTTCTTACCTTTTAAAAATTTTGAAGGTCGGTGGTCATTTTTTTATGGTCTTCAACTATGGCGTTTCCAACCACCTCAAGGAAACCGATTTGAAAATTGATGCCATTTATGTTTATTGTTAATATCCCATCATGAAACCAACCCGTAGATCTCCGACTTAGATAGAACTTTTTGGTTTTTGCGATCAACATTTTCTATTTCACCGCTGTTAAAAACGTATAGATTAGTCATATATATATATATAATAAAATAAAATATAATAAATCTTATCAGTCTTACGTTGGTAATCGGATAGTATTGTTTAAATCAAGAAACATGTCTTCACATAGCAAATTCACAAACCAGCTTCGATACTGGTATTCACTGCTCCCTTCATCATTTAAGACATGTTTTGTTAATTGAAACTACAAACATAAAGGATTAATAAAATCAAATAAGTTAAAAAGTAGACAATTAATAGTAGGAACTTACAATCTTTGAAATATGTTATCAACCCATTTCGTCAACCAGTGTCTTCGAAACTTGTATCGCCTTGATAACTAGGCACAAATAAGACTGAATCAAGATCAACAAAGTTATCCTCTGTAGCTTTCTCCAATGATTCATCATAATCATTCAAAATAGTCTCAACTTTATGAAGTTGAGGTGGGGTTTCCAAGCTAATTTCGTTATCTTTATTGTAAAATACATTTTCAAGAATTTGCCACTCCTCAACATCAAATTCTCTACGCAAGATATCATTTTTGTTAGTTTCGGGGAGAAATACTACATTGTATCGTGCAATTCCTTTCCCGATTTTGGCAAGCCTTCTAACCGTTACACTATCCGTGATCTTCATAGGTAGTAGCTCATCATCATCCGAGTCTTCTTCTTCATCCGAGTCTTTATTATCTTCCGAGTCTTTACCTTGGGATAATCTCACTTTTTTAGACGAACCCGGGTTCACATAGTTCGAATTTCGCTTTCCAAGTGTTCGAGTAAATGTAGAATTATATCTATCATGAACTTCGAAGTTCGTTTCGACTATGTTTGTCACCGTTACGCTCTGTTTTTATATATTGAAAGTAAATTAAATAAATATTTTCTGAACACTTTACGAAGGTAGCATACATACCTTTGTTCTCTCTTTCTTCCAAATCTCCCAATCGTCTTTGTATCCTCCCTTCTAATTATATTTAGTATGTAATAAAATTAATAAAGTACTTCAGCTAACGAGAATAGTAAATATTATAAAACATAAATACAGCTCACAGACGTTAAATTTATCCAGAACGGAGTTAAGCCTATCTGAATTTCCTTTGCGACCTATTGCTTTCATTAGTATTTTTGAATATCTTTGTATGGATCTTGACCTTTCAGAAGCATCTACGAAACGAAAGAAAGAAAGAGGGGTAGGAGTTTCACTTTGCAACATCCAATCTATTTGTGCTTCTTCACGTTGTTTTCGTACACCTGGGTTTCTAACCATGTTTTGAATTTCGCCTGTATTATCAGGAAAGAAAGTAGTTTTGAAAGTAACGTGCCTGAGACTTTATCTATACCTTCTCAGGTATCAGACGCGTCATACGCGTCAGATGCCTAATGCCGGCCCAGATGTCCTAAGGCATTATAAGCATGCACATGAAATTAAACCTATCAGCTACTTGCGATATGCATTTTGCTCTGCTTCATTTTTTCTTATCAAATTTTAAAAAACAAGGTAAGCTTTCAATATGCTTAATGAACCCTATCAACCACAACTTGGTTAAGCACGAAGGACGACTGCGACGGACTTGTGAACTGTCGGAAGCTAAAACTAGCGAGTCATTTTTTGAATGGCCGGCCCGGAGTGAAGGTTGCGTACCGCACCAAGTTGTGAAGTGGTGGTAAAGCACAGAGGGCGACTGCGACGGACTTGTGAACTGTCGGAAGCTAAAACTAGCGAGTCATCTTTTGAATGGCCGGCTTGATGTGACACCCACCATTTTTTTTGTGGTCCATTATGAAATATCTTATTACATTAAACTAACTTTTTCATTATTTTTTTTTCTGAGCGTTTTCAATGAAAAAGTTTTTACAACGAAGTTAGAATATACCAGCATAAATGAGATCTTTGAAATTTTCCATTTGACTCATATTATAATGATAATATATAAGTGGGTAAGGAAGTACTGTAAGTACATTACTTACCTGATACTGGTAACTATACAAGCAAAATCGCATGAAATTCGATAAAGATGAAGGCACTTTTCAACTTAAGGTTAAGAGTCATAGAGGATTTTTGAGAAAGCATAACACATCACTAGCGCCAACGAAGCCACTCATTGCGAATTTATTTCCTGCATCATTTATGGTATCATATTAATCTTTGGTGGTGAGGTGAAATTCTATCCCCAAATATGAAATTTCCGGAAGTCATGGAAAACGACCTGTTGATTAGTAAAGATGGGAAACACCATCATCGCGGTTATCGAGGCAAAGAATATAGGATACGAATCAAAGATATCGCACCAACTGCAAACATCGGTTCAGCATAATCCTAAAAAATGAACTTGTGATACGGCAGGTTTGCACGAAGATGTAATGTATCGGATTGTATCAACTGCTGTGAATTGGGTAATAATCAAGCTAACTCTGATAATAACAGTGAAGGGAAGGTTAAGTTATTTGTCGTCCTCATCATTACCAGTTAATGACCCTGCTTTAACTTATTAGAACATAGTAAAGCCTTTCAAAAACTTGTTTAGGCAAATCAAGTGGGTGTTTGATAACCAGATCGAATCCCAGGAATCATTGAAGTGGGTAAAAACAGAAAATAGGGTAGATAGTTATTAATTAACTTCGCTAACCCGAAGGAAAGTAACACACTAAAGGTAAAAAAATTATAATTTATAATTTTACTAATTTAAGATCTTAAATTATATTTTGATTTATTTTTATAAAAAGCTATTTAAAAAGTTTATAAAAATTATATAATCAAATTATAATATTGTTAAATCTAATTAATAAATTAAATTTTAATAATTTTTTTTAATTAAAAAATCATTTAATTTAAATTAAATATAAATTTAATAAGTTAACTAATTTGATTTAAGTGAAAATAATTTATAGTTTCTATATTATTTTAATTTTTTCTATTATTAATATTCTTATTTTAATCATTTTACTGATTATATTAATTATTTAGTATTGAAATTCCAATTTACTTTTAAAATACTGTATATAATAAATTATACTTAGAGGAGGGTCAGAAATGACGTCATTTCATAAGGAGGGGAGGGGGTCAATCTAGGATGACGTTATACCAATTTCCATTTTAGGTTTAGTGTTACAATTTAAAATGCGGTACATTTATTAAGGCGTTATTTTTTTTTAAAGTTAGAATAGTGTTACAATTTCGTATGTGATACATTCATAAGAGGATATTTTCTGTAGGAAGATAAATTAGTTCCTAAAAGCGGTTAATTTAATTAAAATTTAAAATGTGGCATGTGCAGCAGCATATAAACGAATCTTTTTTTTTAATTAAGATTTAAAAAGTAGTTTGAAATGTGTGTTCTTCTTTTTATCATAAATAAAAATGTGAACTATTAACGATATAATGATTACAGTATCTCTTTCTCATCATCACTGAGCTTCGAAAAAAATAAATTTCTTTGTTGAGGTTTACCTTCAGATACTCTTCTGAATATCTTCTTTTTTATCAATTCTCTTTTTGTTTTTCCTTTGTATTCGAATGCATTGAAGCTTTATTTAACTATAGTATTTTTAAATAATTTTACAATGAAACAAACGTATTTTAAAAAGCCAAAATATTCTAAAAACTACCTTATCTTAAAACCCCAAAATCTTTATGAACAATATATTAATGCCTTTGCATTTAGCAAAATGGTGAAGAGCCAAAATGTAAAACCTAATAAAAAGAAACTACAAGAGTTGGCACAAAACAGTTAGCGGGAAATAAAAACAAATAATAAAAATGATATTCAAAGCATCATCTCTGAATTATTAAAGACTCCTACTCATCCTTCTCCCTTTACATATTTTTCACGACAAAAATTAACACCACCTATACCACCTATACCACCCATATCACCTATACCACTTCCAGACATTCTTCCCCCATCTCCTGACTATATTTAACTTCCATCAAATGTAACAGCGCAAAAGCAGATAGTTGCTATTCTTCAAAAAGCAAAAACTGATTTGTATGAGTATAATAAACTATTGCAAGCATCAACATCACCAGAACTTCGTATACAATTTGCTTTAAAGATTAAAGAATTTGAGGATGTTATAAAGGTGAAGGAGAAGAGATTCAAGCAGTTACAAAGTAATGCAGAAGCTCGGAAATGAGCTTAGAAAAAAAA